CCCCCATGGAGCACAGAACCCACTCCACTGGATCAGAGCTGATCCCTGCAGGACAGGATCTTCTGCCTGAAAGCAGCAAGCACCAAGGGCTTTTTACAGACCTTACAACAAACTCAGCCACATTCTCTAACAGCCCAGCCTCTGCTGGGCGATTTCTGTCCTGGCCAGATATGGCAACTTCCCCATTCCTGGCACTACCAGCCTCTCTGCCACCCATTCCCTCAAACTGGGAGAGGCAGAAAGCAGAACCACAGAGGTGGCAGGAACAAGCACGAGAAAAGGAAACAGAAGTACTGGAGTGGCTTATGAAACTGAAAGAAAAAGAATGCGAGGGCACCAACATAATCTGGGTCTTTGCTTCCCAGAATCTCAGTTAATACCACCTGATGTACATCCTCTGGATATGGACGATACGGTACAAGAATAATTAATGTTTCACTGCTGAATACCTCAAGCAGCCTGACTTTCCACTCAACAATCTCTTGTGAGAGGCAATTTTAGGAATGTGTGAGCTTTTATCCAGAAGTTCTATCTTCAACACTGGCCAGAGTGTAGCAAACTCTAAACATGCTGTAACACTAAATAACATTTAAAAAACACCATATAACCTTTTCTAAAATTTGTTTTTCATATGAGCCTCTAAAGCAACATTGTGTTACCTACAAACACAGCTCCTGGCAACCTCATCCTGAGGCTCTGAGGAGTAACTAAAGCCTGGTGACTCAGCGTGCACACAGCCAGAACAAGGACAAACCCTGCTGGACACGCTCTCCATCAACAATACCAGGTGTACAGATGGCTGAAATTACCATTCCACTTACATTTTGCTCCTCTGGTTCTAATTTTGGAATTTTGTGTGACTTGCGCTCTTCCGATCGGGAAGAGTCATGCTTGCTACTTTTTTTCCTTTTCTCTTTCCTCCCTTCATGTTTTGCCTTAGCATACTCCCTCGCTTGGACTTCATTCAACAGGTCCCCACACAGGGAGGACTCAAACAATTCCCTGCCATTCTGGATAGTTTTGGTTATTTTGAGTTTGATCTCTGGTGAGCCAGTCTTCTTTGGAATCCCCACTTGTGGAGCTGAAGGTGGTGGCGGAGGTGGCAGCTGGGGAGGGGAAGGTTTTTCCAGAACGTCATGCGGCCTCGCATTGGAGTTCTCCATGGGGTAATACTCTGGGGGACTGAAGTTCCTGACTGTCCCAAAGCCATTGGCCGATCCATTGGGATACTGAGTGTACGTCTGGTATTTGGCTTGGGGCTCGTACATGCTGATGGCTGGGGGGTAGCCGTTGGTGAGCGGGGGCAGCTCCTCTGCCGTGGGCGTGGGGTACTGGAAGCCTTGCTGCAGCGCAGCCTCGTACGGTGTCCGGCCCCCATCCTCAGCAGTGTCACTGCTGCCATCAAAGGCCTCCTCTTGGCGGATGTTGGCGGAGTCAATGAGTTGAGGTGGTTGCTGAATTGTGTTTCCCATGATCCCTTGCATGAAAGAGAAAGAGAAATCCATTGTTCTGCTCCAGCATCCTTAGCTTTCCCTTTTTCTCATAGGGCCTAGAGGCAGGGGAAGGGAAATAAGAAGTCAGTGTAAATTAAAAAACAGTAATTAAGCAAATTAAACAGTTGAGGATAAAAGGGATCTCAAGAACAATTTCCTCCTCCCTATTCAGCAGCCACCCTCGCATCAATTTAGAGGACTGGTGTTACTGAGCCTTTACAAAGGGCCGAATTGTCTTTCATATGGCAAATTTCTTCTTTTCCAAGACAGTTCAGAAAATATCAGAAGCACCTATGAGTGCCCAAGCGTTACAAAGTCAGAATAATGGAGCTGAAATCCCCAGCACTCTACAGCCTTCCTAGTGATGCCCAACCCATGGAAGGGTTATTCCAACCTGAAACAGCTGGACAGCACTTCACCCTGCAGCATGTAAGAGATACCAAGTTCTCCTGACACAGTCACTGTAAACTGCACAAGCCAGGAACACCACAGAAAGACAAACAACAGAAAAACCTCTCCTCCTCCTCCCTCCCCACCTCCCTGCCAAAATTCGAGACATGAGCAGCCTTTGGGCAAGCCATAGGATGTTCTGAATAACAGCACGATGAAAACAAGTGGGTCATTCCACCTTGATCACTGGGAACCCAGTGCCCTGCAGCAGGCTCACAGGAGCTTCCCAACCTCTTCCTTCCCCAGAAAAGCAGGGTACAGTTTGCTTGCACTGGCTCTCAGTATCTGTGTGAGGAGGGTTATTCTGCCCCTCACACCTTGTTTTAATATTAAGCACTGCATGCTTCTGAGCCTCAGCATCAACAGATCCCCAAACCCTGCGGTTACTCACTGAATGAGATTCCAGCTGAGCACTGGCCATACACACCTTCAACTTTCCAGTGCATATTAAACCACCAAAATCAGACTCAGTCAAAGTTAGACTTCCAAAACTCAACTGCAGGCTCAGAGAAGGCTTTGGCATTCACGTAAACAGATCAATGATCAACAAGAAGCAACACACAGTGACCTGACCTGCAGGTAAGAAACACCAGTTTGCTTCCCACAAGGTTAGTTCAGCCCTTCCAAAGCAAACACGGCCCCATGGTATTTGTTCTGCCTGTGTGGGCACACAGAAGGGTTACTGTGCCCTTTTGCTCAGGGTTAGAAATGACATTAATGCATCCCACAGACACTTCTTCTAAAGGGAATCTCCATTAAACCCTGCCCACACACAGTTCTCACCCTCCCAAAGCCAAGCATCTCAGTACTTCAGCTAAAAGCTTTCTTAACACTGACAACTTCCTTCCTCCAAGACTGCAAAAAGTAACTGAAGTTCCAGCAGGAACAAGAACTTGACCAGATTTGTGCTGTTTTGGGGTGATGTTTTTCGATTATCTTCACACTTAGATTAAATTTATGTTCGTCCTTATCTTCACTGCCCTGTGAGATCGACTCAGGCATGTCTGTCACTGTAATTAAGCAACTCAGGGCAATAACAGCACAAGGCTCTGCAGCAGAATTTTCTCATTGCAGGAACTTTTAAACTTCAGGGCCATGAAACCATGCCTCCCTCCACAGCTCTGCACATCAGCCAGCAAACCAACACAAGTGTCACTGTCGGGGGATGCAAATCTGTGGAGCAGCACGTGGGATTGCACAGCAAGGTCAAAAACCCCAACCCACTCCTGTTCTGGGAAGAGGAAGTGGGACTGTTTGTACTATTTACCACCAAATTGTTACTTTTCATTTGCCAAACTGAAGAGCAAACAGTAGATTCTCCCACTAGGCTGAGTTCAATCTTTTCTTCTGAATACTTATTAAAAACTCTTTGGAAGCTGTGGCAGCACTTCAGGAACATCCACAGCTGGAAGGGCACAGTCCCAGCTGCACAGGCTCTGCAGAGGTGGCTGTCATTGTGCTTTGTTTTGTTACATGACAGAAGTGTGGATTAATGACCTTCAAAGCACTGCATTTACAGCGGATTTAGGAGCCACCATTGAAGAACAGAGCTACGATTTGTTTCTTTTTCATTTGTTCTGGAGCTCACCTGTGTCACTCAGCCTGGGTGCCAGCCTGTGCTGCACAGCTGGGAAGATCACACCCCATCCCAAATTCCTTCCTCAGTAACTCTGTGCAGGCTGAGGAGCAGGGTCAGGGCTCCATGGAACTGCTCCCAGCAGCCCCAAAGCACCGAGGCTGTTCTCTGTCCTCCCACAGCACCAACATCACTGCCAGCTCCTTCCTGCCCAGCCTCTCGCTGTCATCATTGTTAACACACACAGACTTTCCCACCCTCCTTCTTGCCCAAAACTCTGCACCAGTGGATCAGGCCCCACATGCTGTCCATATCTGGCTATCTGGGCAGCATTACAGTGAGAGGCCCTAGAATGACCTACCAAAACAGGACACAATGAGCAATCCTGAGCATGACTGATGTTGAGGAATCTCAGCATCCAAACCCAAGGAAGGATTACACTGTGTATGTCCCTCCTAAGCACAAATGTGAGGAATACCCCACAGTTACCACAGAGCCATCCCTGCCACACAGCAACACCATCCCAGACCACAGGGCAACAGCATTTCCAGCTGATCTTGCAGAAAAGTATTCCAGAATAAATTCTTCTCACTATGCTAGTGATTACTCTATTAACCCACTGTGTCAGCCTCCTGTGAGCTGCACAGTTTGGCTTCCAAATATGACCCATAGCAGATACAACACTGGAGATCAACAAATAGAGAGTTTCATCATTTCAAGGTTTATAGGAAATGGACACTTCACAGTGACTGCAAACAACTTGAAATCAACAATGAAACAATTTGAAATTAACACTTTCAAAAGTGCAACTGAATTTTCTAATGAGAAAAGAGTTTCCACTTTAAAAGTGAGTGTCCACCATTCTGTTCTAGTCCTTTCCCAGGGCAGACAGGGACACAGGGCCATTTACAAACATTGAGACTCTACACACCTTCAGTAAATATTTTCCTGTCATCCATGGGAGAGTCACAATTCAAAGTAACAGAGGAAAAGGTAAATGGAAAAATAGAAGCAGTACAGAATAAGGCAAGTCAGCCTAGTAAGGCTCTTTTTCTAAGTGAACACTGTTTCAGTTCCTATCCCATGCTTCTCAGCTCAAGTGAGCATAACTCAGAAAATCAGCTCCACTCCAAGAGTGAGTGCTCAGTGAAGGGAAGGTATTGCAGAGACTATGGATCCTCCAGGTCCAACTTTTCACCAGCAATTGGACTTATCTATAACCAGTTTTAGCATGAGTACTTTTCAGCGTTGCTCTCAGAAAACAAGACTTGAAGTTCTCAAACCTTGCTTCCATGCTGCATTAGACAAAATAACAATTGACCTCAGATTATCAAACAATTCCAATCCCATGTGACCACAGCTTTTCTTATTCCCAATCAGAGAGTTCTGTAGGTTTGGCTGAGACTGGCTGTGGCCACAGCAGGGAAAAACACAACAGCTACTGATAAAAGTACAGCATACACATATTTTTAAGAGAGGCTTCACAAAACCTTTTGCCACCTTTTTCTGTTGACAATCCTCACACAGGGCTAGCACAGAGGTAAGGTGTTTTATGGATGGAAAGTGTGTGCTGTGAGACAGAAGCTGGCCTGCTGGCCTCCTAAGGGAGCTGGAAGCACTGCTGTGAGTCAACTGTATGTGCTCAGAACGGTGTCACCGCCTCGCCACCCTGAGCTGGGCTTTCTATCAACAGGCCCAAAAGCAGAAGCTCCAGGACACCTTTATGTCCAAATACCAGCCCAGTTCCTGTCCACACAGGCCTAAATCTCTCTAGACGCAAACCTCTGCTCACATCCTACCAACCCCTCCTTACCCCACAGATGTTTACTGCCACTTCCTGCGCTGTTTCACCCCACAGTATCCAACCTGCGCTGGGGCTGGTCTCCTCAAGCACCCAACCAACAAACACAGCAACTGCTCTCAGTAGCTGTTCACTGCTGCAGGTGTTTGACACAGACAGAGCTGGACAGGCCAGGTGTCTAAACTCTCTGACCTCTCAAAACCTTATGCCTACAATTCACACACAGCCCCTGCCCCTCACTCCTCCCCAGAGTTGAGCATACCCACTGCTTCTAATCACATTAACCATGCCCCAGAGGGACATCTCTGTCACCTGGAACATCATCCCGGTGGGTCAGAACTGTATGAACTGCAGATAGAAATGAAACAATTGTTCCTACTAATCCCTGCATTCAGTCTGGGCAATCTGCTTTGTCCCATTCATCTCTGCATGTCCTTAACAAATCCCCCAGCCAAAACTCTGTTTGCACACGTTAAGGCAACACCAAATTTTCACCTGCACGTGAGTCTTTAACAGGAAATCTGCAGCCTGTGGATTTTTCCTGACTCCAGCTGGACTGAGCTGTTCCTCCTGGCAGACACCAGCGGTGAATCAGAGGCCTCTTGACAAACTTTAAAGCATGAGGTGAGGCTGCTTCCCTGTGCACCTTTGTAAAGGTGTTTTGTATTTGGTTTCTGAATGCCAGAAAAAACAGTCACGTCTGTAACTGGGCTTGATAAGCACATTTGGAAGAAGTTTCCCACGGTGCTGTGGAAAAAAACAACTTGGACAGCAGAGAAAAGGGGTTTGCCTAAAAAAGGAGCTCAGAGGCTCATTTGTTTAGAGAGCTGTGGGACTCAAATGGAAATCATGGAGCAAAAACTTTGGATCTTCAGGAAAAGTCAGGGGCTAATACTGCTATGAGGCCAGAAGTCAGATCTCTAGCAGTATCAAACACTGTAATCTCATGACAGGAAGCCACATATCACAGCCAGGGCAAGAACCACAACATGTCTCAACAAACCCCCTCAAACACAGGTGAAGTCGTGAAACTGGAAAATGCAAAATATGTTTGTATTAAAAAGAAACAGAGAGTCTTCGACCACCATCCTCCATCCTTACCCCGTACCTTCATAAAGCACATACTCAGGTTTTGGAGCAAAATCTTTTCAAGCAGTCCATAAAATAATTAATTTTTAAAAAATTACATATAACTACCAAGGCATTCACTGTGCACCTCTACAAAAGGTCACTGAAAGACTTAAACACTCATCAAAACACACTAGTTTTTCCTTCAACTATAACTACTGGCTACTTAATATTATCCTTTGGGCTAGTTAATATCTGTACAACTATGTCATCATTAAGACTTTTAACAACAAATTGCACTGAAACGACCGAGTGTATCGACAGCGAAATGAAAGCACCGTGAGACCACAACAAAGTGCAGCACAACGCAACGGCACTGCAAAAAAATAACATCAGAGCAACAACAAACGCTGAGCTGACGCGCAGCTCTTCCCGCGCGCAATAAAACCCTTTTCCTCGAGCTGGGGAGGCCGAGGCACGGTGACACCGGGGTGAAAGCCCGAGTTTCACACCTGCAGGAGGTCGGGGCTGGGCCCCGGCGGGAGCAGGGAGCGGAGCCGGCCGGGGGGGCGGCGCGGGGGTCCCGCGTCACGGCGCCGAGCCCGGCCGAAGCCGGGGCCTGTCCCGCCCGGGCTCTGCCCTGCCCTGCCGGGGCCCTGCCCTGCCCGGGGCCCGGCCCCGCCGCTCCGGTGCCGCCGCAGCTCCCGCAGCAACATGGCGGCCGCGGCCCCTCCGCCCCGGGGCCGCCGCGGCCCCGCGCTCACCTTCAGTCAGTTCCATTCTCACGGCCCCGCCGCGTCCGCCCGGCCCCGCGCAGACAAAGGCGGCGGCGGGGGCGGCGCGGGGCCTCCGCCTCCTCCTCCCGCAGCACCAGCAAGGCCGCGACGGAGCCCCGGCCTCGATTTCCGCGCCCCCGCCGCTGGCGCCGGCTCCGCCCCGGGGAGGCCGCCCGCCCCCAGCGCCCGCCGCGGCCGAGGGAGGCGCTGGCGGGGCCCGGCGGGTCCGGCGGGTCGGCGGCCGAGGGAGACGCTGGCGGCGGCGGCGGCGCTGGAGCGGCTGTGCCAGTGCGGCCCCGCCGAGCGCCTCCGCCTCCGCCCGCCCCCCGCCGCCGCCGCACTGCGCAGCCGCACGCGCACGCGCCGCCGTCAGCCATTGGCCGCTCGGGCGGTGCCCGCCGCGAGGCACCACGGGAGATGTAGTTCGGCCCCCTGTGGCGGATGAGTGACCCCCGAGGGGACCCGGAGACAAGAGAGGATTGGGTGCGATTTGTGTCCATTTCGGGGCTCCTCGGACAACAGGGACAAGGGGCTGGGGTGCGAATAGCTGTAAGAAAGAAAATTTTAAAAGTTATTGTGCTCCTCACTTTAGGGACGTTTGTAAAGGCCCTTGCACAGCGCAGCAGCACCCATGGATGAGTTTCCTCAGGAACAGGAGAGGAGACTCATCTATTTCCCTCATTCCCACAAGAAAAGCTCTTTTAGACATAATCTAAATGTGTTTAAATCCCAGTTTTGTACTCTGGTAGCAGACTCGGGAGCTCTATCCCCTTTTTCACCTATTTCACCCATTTATCCGATTTATTTTTAAAATACTGTTTATCTGTTTGGGCATCCATTAGCCAAAGGGTTCCAGACCTATTTTTCATTGGGACAATGAAATGTTTTCTCCCCTCTAGTCTCTGAAAACCAGGTAGTATTTTATGGAATCTCAGAATTACTATGGTTGGAAGGGGCCTTAAAAACTTCAAGGGATCCAGTCACCTGTCACCTGCTGTTATCCGCTCCTCAGACACACAGGATTGGTGTGTTTGCCTGACGGGTCAGGGCTGGATTCTCCCCTCTGACACCTCATTCCGAGCACAGCTGCTCCCCTGAGAACAGAGGAGTCTCTGCCCTGCTGCTCCCGAGGAGCTCTGTGTGTCCATGGAATGAGCCTATTGACGAGGGCTGCGGTGACAGGATGGGGGGAACGGCTTCCACTGCCAGGGCGATACTGGGGAAGGCAGGGAGAGGCCCCGGCACGGGCTGCTCGGGAAGGGAACTGCGAGGGTGGAAAGGCCCCGCACGGGCTGCTCAGGAAGGGAACTGTGAGGGTGGAAAGGCCCCGCACGGGCTGCTCAGGAGAGCTGTGGCTGCGCCATCCCTGGAGGTGTCCCAGGCCAGGAATGGTGGGAGGTTCCCTGCCCACAGCAGGGGCTGAGACTGGATGCGCTCTAAGCCCCCGTGACCGGGAGCGGCGGGTCCCGTCCCGGGCAGGCCCCGGTGAGGCCCCGCAGAGGCTTCAAGGCCCCTCAGCTCGGCCACGAGGGCCCGCCATACACATGACGTCATGCGCTTCTCGAGATTACGTCATGCGCTTCTCGAGATGGCGTCACGCACCGGCACGTGACGTCACCGCCTGCGCGCCGCCGCCGTTCTCGCACCCAATCAGCGGCTTTTCCCGAGGGCTCCTCGGGTCAGGCCCCGCCCCACTCCGCTCCCATTGGGCGGGCCTCCAGGAGGGCCGGGATTCTGACGTCTGATTGGCTAACGTCGAGGAGGCGCGGCGCGGTGACGTCAAGGCGCAGGTACCACAGAGAGGCGACGGGTGAGAGCGGCTCGCGCGGGGCACGACGGGACGGGTGGGAGGGGCGGGAGGAGGGCGGCCGGCGGTGAGCGGAACCGGAACCGGGATCGTGATCGTGACCGGGAGCACGATCGGGGGGACCGGGACCGGGAGCGGCATCACCGGGCTTGGCACCAGCACAGGGACCGGAGGAGGGCAGCGCAGCTCGGTCGGCTCAGCCGGGGACCCGTGGGGACCTGCGGTGCGGCCCCCGACGCGCCCGGCAGCGGCTCGGGGATGGCTCCAGCCGGGGCTCGGCGCCCCCCGGCGCCCCCCGGAGCTGCCGCCGCCCCCCGCCGCTGCCGGCGGTGAGGTCCCAACCATGGCTGCGTGCGGCTGTAACGCGCTCCTGGCCGCGGCCAGGGCCAGGTGAGCCCCCGGTGCCCCGGGCTCTGCTCCGCCTGCGGGCTGGCCCTGAACCCCCGGGGGTGTTTGCAGCTTTATCCCAATTCCCGGTAAAACCACTCCCGAGAGACGCTACCGAGCTTCTCCCGCAAGAGATGAGCTGCTAGCACAGGACGGGTTCCCAGTATTTCAGCCGGTGCTGCAGGATCAGGATTTTAGCCGCAAAACCAATTTTACGAGGTTGATTTGGTGCTGAAAAGGTTCGCTGGGGTGTGATGCGCGGCACTTTGGCCTCACTGCTCTGTTCTTACTGAAACAACTCTCCAGTTTCAGGGGCTCCCATCTCCTGGCGCACTCCAGCCCTCTGTGCTCGCCAGCCATTGCTCTTGTCCATCTGGTGGATTCCCAGTTAACCTGCACTTCAAAAAGCCAGCCCTGGCCACGCCGTGCCTGCCTGGGCGCTGCCCTGCCTCGCTCACCTGCCCACGCCTTGCACACCTCCACCAGCTCCTGGCAGCAGCTCCCGGGTGAATCCCTGCCCCACCGAAACCCTGGAAACCAGGGAGCTAAACCCGCCAAAATTCTGACAAAGCAGATCACAGAGGCTCCCGCGGGAAAAAAGTCCTTGCGGCAGAAAGCTGTGGATGAGCTGAAGCATTACTACAATGGTTTCCACCTGCTCTGGACTGACACCAAGGTGGCTGCCAGGATGGTGTGGAGGCTCCTGCACGGGCAGGTGCTCACCAGGAGGGAGAGGCGAAGGGTAAGTGCCACAACACCTGGATAAAGTGATGTAGTAAGGGGCTTTACCCCTTCTTTGGACACGTTTTGTGTGTCTGTCTGAGTGATAACCTCTGGGGCAATTTCTGCTGTGCTCTTCTCCCTACAGCTGCTGAGAACTTGTGTGGATCTCTTCCGTCTGGTTCCCTTCCTGGTGTTTGTCATTGTCCCCTTCATGGAGTTTCTGTTACCTGTGTTCCTGAAGCTCTTCCCTGAAATGCTGCCCTCGACATTTGAGACAGAGTCAAAAAAGGTTTGTGTCCTTTCTGAGGCTGTGGAGTGTCCATAGCTCCTCAGAACATTTGTGCAGGGCTGCTGTTCCCTGCCTGCTGCTGCAAGTGAGGATCAGCCTCACCCAGTTTGTTCCTGAGCTGAGTGGGACAGTTGGAAGGCTGTAGACAGGGATCAGAAGGAATGTGCACAGCAATTGCATTTCCTACGTTGCATTTTCTAATTTATAATTTTGTATTTCCCAAATGAAGGAAGAAAAGCAGAAGAAGAAGTTAAATGCAAAGCTGGAGTTAGCCAAGTTTCTGCGGGAGACCATTACAGAGATGGCCAAAAGGAACAAAGCAGACACAGGACAAGGGAAACAATTCTCCTCTTACCTGCATGAGGTGGGACTGGCCGTGCTGGGGATGGCAGCCATGGCACAGACACACCTTTAGTGCTGCTGGTTTGGGCAGAGAACACTGGATTTGTACCAGGATTGTGGAAACATCTGGCAGCGTGGAGCTGTTCCCTGGGTGCCTCCCTGCTGACCCTGCTCACTGCAATTCCCATCCTGGAAGGGTGTATCTTTCACCCTGTGAAACTTCCAGTTTCACTTGGACTTTTAACTGTGTCATCCTGTCTCTGTCAGAGAGGGAGGAGTGGGAGGAAGGGGAAGGGGGGAGGAGATTCCAAGGCGGTGATCCCGCTCAGGTTTGCGTCTGTGCCTCCGTTCAGATCCGTCACAGCGGCCACCAGCCCAGCACGCAGGAGCTCGTGCGCTTCTCCAAGCTCTTCGAGGACGAGCTGACCCTGGAACACCTGGAGCGGCCGCAGCTGGTGGCTCTGTGCAAGCTGCTGGAGCTGCAGCCCATCGGCACCAACAACCTGCTGCGCTTCCAGCTGCTGCTCCGGCTGCGCAGCATCAAGGCTGATGACGAGGTGGGTCTGCAGGAACACACGGGAACTGCTCAGGTGGGTCTGCAGGAACACACGGGAACTGCTCAGGTGGGTCTGCAGGAACACACGGGAACTGCTCAGGTGGGTCTGCAGGAACACACGGGAACTGCTCAGGTGGGTCTGCAGGAACACACGGGAACTGCTCAGGTGGGTCTGCAGGAGCACACGGGAACTGCTCAGGTGGGTCTGCAGGAGCACACGGGAACTGCTCAGGTGGGTCTGCAGGAACACACAGGAACTGCTCAGGTGGGTCTGCAGGAGCACACGGGAACTGCGTGGTGCTTACACCAGACTCGTGTCCCTGCCCGCACACCCTCACAGCAGGGGAGTCTGATATTGATGGGAGACACATCCTCCCCGTGAGAGATTCCAGAAGAAAACAGAATGAGGGTTCATCTCCCCGCACCCTTGCACTCTTTGCACTATTTGCACTGCAGATATTGTCAGTAGAACATTTTGTTTTGGAGTCATGCTGACTTACCAAAAAGAGATGTTCCTTGATGTGCAGTGGGGTTATTTGGAAAATGGAAGCAGACTTGCACGTGCAGAGTGGAGGAACAGCAGGTAATTGCCATAAGTTGCAGCAAGGGGAATTTCAACTTGATAAGAAACAAAATGAAAATCAGTGAGTGGGTAAACAGTGGAACAGGTTATCTGGAGGCTGTGAAATCCCCATCCCTAAAGAGGCTTAAAGCACAGGTGGAAAATGCTGAGCAATTTTGCACAGGAGATTGGACTGGAGGCCTCCAGAAGTCTGTTCAGCTGCAACAGGGTCTTGGCTTCTTCTGTGCCTGTGTGGGAACGCTGCTGTTCATTCCAGATGATTGCCAAGGAGGGGGTCAGTGGCCTGAACGTGTCAGAGCTGCAGAGCGCCTGCAGGGCCAGAGGGATGCGGTCACTGGGGCTCACTGAGGAGCAGCTGAAGGAGCAGCTTGGGCAGGTGAGTGTGCCC